GTGATTTTTAACTGTCTTATTCTCATCCACTGTGCTAATTAAATTATCAGCATAGTGTTGTTCCCTCCCGACTGATACTGTGCATAAAGATCCCTTCATACCTGAGAAGAAAATTGCGAAGTATGTATGAATGAGTTGTTAATAAACTGCATTACACCGAAATAAGAAGAAAACCTGTACATAGGAGATAGATGAAGAAAGATGTGTGCATCAGTGACAGAATACAGAAAAATTCGAACATCAACGAAGTGATGAAGGTGGTTAACAGACTGGTAATAAATATAGTACCTCTATAACAACAACAGTTGAACGACTTTAGTAAAATGGTCCTTCATTTGTTTCCAAAACCTAAATGTTCACCTGAAAAGGTAATTTCAGATAAAATTATGAAAAGAAAATGAACGTCATGAAGAATTTTACTGCTCCTTAGATATTGTTCTGCATACCTATCAAGACTGACCTACGAAGAACGAGAATATTGCACTAATTATTGCAGAGTTACTGTCTAAGCAAGCTATATTTAAGTGATCGGTACTTATCGTTCATGTAAATCGATATTTTATACTTAATTCGTTTGTTTGAGGATCTTGAAGACCCCATTGTAAGGTTCTTTCAGTGACCATTATACTGTCCCAGTGAGTGTTTGTCTGTTTGCAGATTTCAATGTCTTCTTTTGTTATCTTCATCAAAAATATCATTCCCAACATCGTTTTTATGTTCATGACTTCGTACCTTGATTAAGATAATTCCAATGAAACTACGGAACAAAGAATTAGTGTCAAAGATTCATTGAATACGGATCAATTCAGAAGTTTTGAACTTCAACTAGCAGATCGCATTCTGGATGATATTTTTCAGAAATGAGTTTCACACGCACAATAGTTCATCAAAAAGATTTTTAAGTACTATTCGTCTTTAATGGTTGCCTGTTTTCTACGCTTAAAATGGTAACCTTGGTGTACATGGTCTTTATTAAGTAAGATAATTACTTAGGTTTGAGTGAACCATTGATAACTGAATCCTCAAAGGATTTTCTGGTTTATGAAGCAGTGTCTATTGGAGAGCTCCCTGAAATGCAGAAATAGTGGTCAGTCAACTAATAAATATTTGAGCCTCTTTGGTATTTCACACTCTTGGTTTTCAAAAAAATTTAATTGGTAAGTTATAACCAAGTTGTGAGTGAAACCAGGTAAAAGGAATGAGAATGTATGACAGTTTAGCCACATTAAGAATCGTCTGAAGTTTGAAATACTCACCAACTGGCCAGAAACTTGACTATAGATAGTGAAACCTAAAGCCTAAACTATACGGGTTGTATTTCTTAAATAAGTGTATATCTACAGGTGTACTTTAGGTTTTCACTGCTTTTTAAGACTGTCTTAGCTTTGAAAGAGGATTATTTTTGGATTAGTCTGCAGTCATGAAAAAAGGTATAGATTTACTCTTGTGAACAAAGGATTGGATAAGGCTAGGACCCTTTTAAATGCCCTTCTAGTTTGTATAAATGACATTGTCCTTTGTTACCAAAGAGTCCGTATGTGAATTGTGCCATTTTACAGGTTAGATAGACATAAGCTAATAGAGTATTGAACACGAGTAAATGAAATCTTTATCGTAGTAAATTTTGCTATCAGTCTGTTCAGCTGCATTCCTGCAATAATTTTGCAATAAGCACAATAAAAACGATCAATAAACAACTAAGCATTGGATGTTTATCTACGTTACTGAATCTTTTATACTTGTTTTGTAACTAAGATGCTTAAAAATGCAAATTTCGCTTTCTTAATCATATGTTATATATGAGAAGCAAAAAGACATATCAGAGAAAGCATTAATCACATGTTGATCGACTTGTCAGTTGACGCTTAGAGTTTACAAATTGATGAAATTTTCTTTGCACAAATATATTTTCTACCAAGTTTCATAATAGAATTGCAAAACAAAAGACGCTGATTCCCTTTACATTGGTATCTGATATTTCTAGGGTCAGTGTAACTCAAAGTTTCGTGGCATCTGTTGTTTTTATTCCTCGACGGGGTCATTTGTTTAAATCCAGTCTATCAGACAAGTGTGGCTAAAAGTTATCCCCTAGCTTTATTGTAATTGTCATAGATCATCGTGTTGTGTGAAAATACGTGTTTTCTGAGCTCTGGAGGCATATTTTACCTATTTCTATACCTTTTAAAATACCGTTTGCCACCTTATCGTGTTTTATACGATTTATTTATGTCTAAATCATTGGCTGGACTTGCCATCCTCGGTGTAAAAAAAGTTGGGTTCATTTATGAAGAAGGATGCTCACAAATCAAAGTAAGGTAATTGGAGCTTTAAATTGTAGTAAGGAAGAATTATGACTACAGTTTTTACTTCAAGTTACTTTGTAACTTACAGTAAATTAGGTCATGAACAAAATCAAAGGATAATGGATATATTCATGTTTGTAAATTCAGTGTCTTGTTGATTTATGACTCAGTGCTTTGTTCATAAGTAGGATGGTTATTGCACAACAGATAAAAAAAACCTTTTTTGTTAGGACTTCACCGACAAATTATTAAGAAGCGTGAAATTCCATAAGAAGTAGATTATAGAAGCGCTATGGATTGTTCGAGACTGCAAAAGAAAGTTATTAAAGTGAGTTTCAAATAAACTACCTTTCATCTTTCTTAAGAATTATGTATGAGCTTTTATTTAGTAATAAATAGTTACTTGGCCCACTTGAAGCCAAAGGAAATTCTTCGCTAGTGCACGTAAGATAGAACGACAAATGATGGGAGAAGTCAATAAACGTTTGCATTGGAAACACGTTTCATATGAAGGTCGTTCAGGAAGGTTATATTTGATTTACATACGATAAACATATGTGCACGCATAATGGCCTCTTCTCTTGGATTGTAATGAAATGGTGGTGAAGACGAAAGATTCAAATAGCTTCATAGGGTTTAGGTCATTTAGAATAAGGCATCTTCAACTTTTGGTTATATTAATTTTATGCCTAGCGAATGTTGACATAAATCGGTGCTTACTCAGGATGTCTTCTAATTAGCCCGTTCCACGCCTAAAAAAGAAAATAGGGCATCCAGTTGCCTCCAGGGGGTGAATGGTGGTAATTATAACCTCTTAAGACACAACAACTTCCATTTAGTGCATTATATCATCTACACTGAAGCCTATTCCTACAACACCCACCTGAACATGATTAAGTACGAAAAACTCGCCTCAGTTTTGTTGCTCAAGATCAACTGAAAACGAAAGAGAGACACATTCGCTTTGGGGACAACTTTTAGCCACACTCCTTGCAGACACCGTGTAAAATCGGAGTCTTATCTGATCTCAAAATTCAAATATTCGTCTCCAGTTCATAATACAATCAAAGGTAGACTTTGGTGAACGGAAGCAAACTGATGACAGGATGGATTCCTTTCGCTATGACTAAATAATATGAATGTATTCCCCTACTAAATACTTTTAAACAATTAGTACATTAGAGATATCCAAGGGTCTGATACATAACTGAAAGAAACTACTTGATTGTTTTCACTTAGGAACGGTTTCGTTGCAGAACAGTGTTGGAGGATAATCCTATAAGGGGTCTTTAGAGTTATTCAATATGCTTCTCAACCTAACTTCGCCATTTATAACAAGTAACTGTTTGCTGATAAATGAAATGCGTGATACTCAAACATCTGTTGTTTCCCTTCGAATAAACAGAAAAGTTTTCGTACTTTGTTAAAAGCAAAGGATTACATTTATTAGATGTAGTACAGATCTAATACAAGCAGGTTACTAAAATGAAATAATAACAGAGTCAGATGCCTGTAATCAAGGATGATACTGCGTTGCAGTCGAACGGTGGCGATTGCCAAACCGCAAAACGACTACTGATGGCTGCCTGAGATGGTTTTGTTACTGCAGGCTTGCTGCCTTGCGACTGTGTGATGGTATTAAAAACATGAATAAGGTAGAAACTGAACCAGCAGCTTCCTGGCATGGTCTCTTGGCATGAATCATCACCCAAATACAAGATGACTGACAATTGAAACAGACTTAGCAACTTCCTTGGCCGTAGAATACTCGCTGAATAACTTTATCTATAGATTTCTAAGGTACCTATCAGGAATTAAACTTAAAATGTCACTGTTATCACCATATACTAAACTGAAAAACATCAGCCTATAACACCCACAGACAAATTAAAGTGTGAAAGTTCGGTAGAACAATAAAAAAACATAGTGACTCCATAGGCCAGCTTATCAGCTAGTAAAATGGTCAATAGGGTTTCTTGATTTTGACTGCGAAAGTAGTTCTTTCAGAAAATATTGGAACCTAATTGGTTATTTAGTATTTGTTAAGAAAACTTCTATACTAGATTGAAAAAGGTTGCTAAAAGAAAATAAGGTACAATACGTCTGGCATGTAATATATGCATGGACTAGGTCAATAAGCGATTTTTTCATATCTCTCTACAGCCGAAATAGGCTGAAATTTTAGACCAAGGGGACACCATTCACCGAATAACCATATCATCAAAGTTTATTTTCTTTCCTGCTGAAACTGATTTTCGTTCATCCAATCTGTATGAAAACTTTCCTTTTCTTGAAACGATTCCTCATTACGTTTTCTATAAATCTATAGTAATCTTCAATATGACACATTCCCTTGGCAGTTGTTTTATTTTTACGTATTTTGTCATATAGAATAACACATTACATAAGAAATTCACGTTCAGGAGGTGAGATCTGTTTTCAGTCTTCAACATAACTTCCAACTGCAAATAATAGAAGAACTATGTATCTGCTAACTGGTGATCGGAGGTTACATGAAGATTTGGGTCACAGTAGGTTTCAAACCAGTGACCCCTGGGTTACCTGTCCGATACCCTACGAGATTTGGCTTCTGACAAAATCTTAGTTTCCCTTTAGTCACCCAGAATTGTTTTAGATACATGAAAATTACTTTTAATGAAGTGAACACTTTCAAAATACTTCATGAACTTTGATTTCATGCTTTTCCCTTTAGATGAATTAGAATTCAAAACAAAAACTGAAATATTTTCTATCCCAAAAGATTCATATTACAATTGTTCAGAAACGAGTAAAGTTGAACTTCTGCCAGAACACCGAAATTACAGTACTGTGCGTTTATTACTCGATAGACTTGAAGTTGAAGCTTTCCGACAAAGTTCAAGCATTAATTATGTTGGTACAGGTAAATTTTGATTTCAGAAGAAAATAATGTTAATCAGTTATAAATGAATTTCTATAATATTTCTAAAAACTTTGGCAACTTTTTATATTTTAAGGCATCATGTTAGTCAGACGGTTTTTCTAAAGATTAATATCAACTCAGTAAACATTGGAAATCTCTTGGCAGTGTAGAGTTGTATTCTACTTTAAAGCTCTGATATATTTAACATTGGTATCGTCTTATGAGTGGAAAAAACCGCTACTTTAAGGCTGTACAAGAACAGTGATAAACCTCACTGGATATTGTGTGAGTTTTAATTGAGAAATATGCTAATTTCGGTGTTACTGAGTACTTGTGTCACTATGGAAGAAACAACTGTGCATTCATACCTTAGGTGACTGTTTCATCAGACAGACTAATCAATATTGTGTACAAAATGATATGTTGGTGACTTTGAAAATGTCTGAAAGAACTGAATTCTCTCTTACTAGTAACTAAGCCAAAATCATAAGTTACCACGCAGAATGTTCAAAAGTATTCATTTTAGAATATGTTAACTGAGCTACATTATCTTTCTAACTACAGACTATATACACTTCATTTTCTGTGAGAATTTATGTTTCAGTTTTCTTGCTAGCACCTTAAGAGAATCGGTTACTACAATAATTAGCTATCATGTTGTTTATATTACAAATTCATATCTAGGTAGTAAGGTGCTAGCTTACTAGGCTGAAAATCTATTTTGTATCCTAAAAGTTCGGTTGTGTTACGTTTTCTGAGATGGGTTGTTTAATCCTGGAGCTTTCATCATCTTTCTAGACAACATCATCAGCACTAACTTCAATATGAAGTGAGCTGTCAATATTTCTCCGTGAGTGATTCAGTAGCTTCCCCTAACCAACCGGTTTGTGGTTGGTCATTTCCTTTGATTAGTGTGTCATTGACTGTGTAGATTTTCTTGTTGGCTGTTTCTACGCCTGATCTCTGATCTTTCCCTTGTTTGCCATTTTCCTTATTGGTTGTTAGGTTGGGTCTATGTCTATACTTCTATTGATTGCTGACTGACCTGAGCGCCAAGCTCCTAGAAATTATCTAATATTCCTTGATTCCTCTATTCAAGATTTCTACATTGTCAAAACTAAATTCATGTCCATAGTTATCCACGTGCATTTAAATGAGTGATGAAATATCGTGACGTTTAACAGCTAATTGGTGTTCGTATAAGCGAATGCGAAGTGGGTGGCCACTTTGTCCAATGTAGTGCTGACTACAGTTATTGCAGTTGATTTTGTAAATGATATTTGGTTTGTTTCCTTTGGCGGTCGCCTCTTTTGGTCTGCATAATATAGTTTGGAGGGAAGTTGTTGGTTTATGAGCCACACCAATTCCAATTAGTTTCAGTAATCTTGTCATGATTTCTGATATATTCTTTATGTATGGTAATATGATGCGTTTATTGATTTCTGTTGACGACTTTGTAGTTGATGATGTACGGGATAGGCGTCTTCTAATAAAGTTTCATGGGTAGCTGGCGCCCTCTGGCTGCCTGCTTGAACTCTGGGCTACCATTTTCTATCATCGACTTTATTGCATCAAATTTCTTATTTCTATATTGTTGTAATCGTTAAATTGTGTCAACTGTCTGGCAACTCGACATCTGAAGAAGTCAACTGCACCACAGTTCAAGGCAAACAAACCAACACTTAACTTGCTGTTCTGTAAATCAGAGCTATAGAAGACGAGTGGCTGGACCTACTGCATCGGAATCCGCCAAAGATCTGGAGTCGTTCCGCAAGACCAAGAAGCGAGCGCGAAGAAATCAACTGGTTTACACAAGCTCGTTAAAAAGATATTGGATATTGGAACCAATCGTATTGTATATTCTCGCGCGTTTTTAAAATCATTACAACCTATCGCTTCGCAAGTTGATAGGAAATTTAAGAAGAAGCACCACGGTGGATGGCAACGAGCTCTGAAGCGTATGACCATAGATCAAATGACTATTCCGGAAATACTTAGCACAAACTGCAGGTCGTTGCCGAATAAAGTTGATTACCTTCAGTCACTCTTGTCCACAAATGTTTATCGAAACACGGGTGTAATAATGCTGCAGGAAACATGGCTTCATAATCTGTATGATGATGACTTAGTCTGCTTAGATGGTTTCAAATTATTTCGACAAGATCGAAGCTTTTCGAAGAAGAAATGTGGTGGTGGTGTAGCAACATTTATTAGTACTAACTGGTCGTCCTCCAACTATGTATGCTTCTGCTTCTCTAACGAAAAAATTGAGTGCATTACCATCAAATGTCGCCCCAAACATTTGAGCAAATACAAATACATATATATCACAAACATGTATGTCACACCTGACTGCAGTTTCTCAGATTTGTCAACTTTTGCTGATAAATTCACTGAATTTGCTGCTCCGGTTCTGGGAAACTCCTTGTCTATTGTCTGTGGTGATTTTAACTCATGTGACTACAGTTTTCTATTATCATTGGGTCATAAAAATATGGTTAACTTTTCCACTCGTCTTGACAACACCTTAGACTTTGCATTTACAAATGAACCTGGCATATATGAAGCCCGTAAACGGGCTCCACTGCTAAATTCCGACCACTGTATCGTTCGTGTTTTGCCTAAAGTGTACGGAAAATTATACAAGAAAGCTTTTGCATACCTTTCAAGGAAAGTTCAATACAGATGCTATTCACAAAAAAATATTTTACGTTTGAGAAGCATGCTTATAGAAACGGACTGGGATATATTTGCTGATGAAGTTTTAGACAACACTATTACCAATATCACAAGCTATCTCAGATTCTGTCTCGATATCTGCTGCCCTACTGAAACAATTTACATGAGATTTGACAGACTTTCCTCTCCTCATCTCAAGAGGCTTCGGAGAGAAAAGGAAAGGTTGTATAAGGCGAGAGATCACCCTGGCGTTAAAAGGCTTAACTGCCTAATTAAGTCTGAATTTTTTTTTTTTTATACTATATACAACGAGAAGTTCTTATCGTGTAAGAACTCTTCCAATATATGGAAATTATTTAAAGAGCTTACTGGTAAAAAACAGATGACAACACAAACTCGTTCGGATGTCTGCGCGTTAAACAAGTCATTTATACGTCGGCAAGCTAATTTCACCCTTCCTAATGTGCAAAATCAAGTGGATAGCTGCTTTCCAGGTTTCAATACAAATGATGTATTTAAATGTCTAAAGTCTTTGAATCCCTCCCAAAGCTTAGGTCCTGATGGTGTTTCTAGTATCATATTTAGAAAATGTGCAGATATTTTGTGTCATCCACTTACAGATATCTTCAATGTATCGTTCTCTAAAAACATAATACCCACTGCTTGGAAGCAGATAAAAATTGTACCTGTGCCTAAGCCATCTTCTGGATCAGATGTTACTTTTCGACCCATCGCTATAACTTCCCCTTTTCTGAAGACAATGGAGAAATTACTTCTGCTTGTGATTGAGCCTTCATTGATGGCCTTCAGAGATCCAAAACAGTTTGCTTACAAACACCGGAGGAGTACTTTAGATGCAGCTACTGTCTTGCATCATAATATTGTTTCTAGTCTCGACAAAGGTGTTAAGTATGTCCGTTGTGCCTTTTTGGATTACTCATCAGCCTTTGACTCTGTTCCTAGACCACTTTTGTTAAATAAGCTTGCCATAGCTCACACTGATCCATGGGTTACAAAATGGCTGCATTCTTATTTTTCTGAAAGGAAACAGTACACTATTCATAAAGGGATGCGCTCCACTTCATTGCTTACTGAAGCTGGTGTGCCTCAAGGTGCTGTACTTTCTCCTTTTCTGTTTTCCTTTTTTTGCACGATTTGCCTTATTCTGTTGAAACTAATTTTATCAAGTATGCTGACGACCTGACGATTTCTATTCCAGTAAACTCTTCTTTGGATTGCTCGAAATTAAATGAATTCTTGTCTGAAGTTGGTAAATGGTCTCTCTCAAACTAAACCCCTCTAAATGTCAGACCGTTAATTTTAGCCTCAGGAGTAAACAAGACTTATGTGAGCTGCTTAAATCTCATGACGCCTGCTGCATCAATGGTATTTCTGCAGAAAGTAAATCGAGTGTGAACTATCTTGGGTTGCGTTTTACTTCTGACCTTTGTTGGTCGTCCCATATTTTATTGACTTGTAAAAAAATCTTTCGTTTAACTTATTACGTAAAGAAATTGAGGCTTTCTGGTATAACTCAACTGCTTCTTTTACAATTTATTAATTCCTGCATTTTACCTATTCTTCTATATTGTTCCCCATTAATCTTTCCTGGTCTTCTTAAAAAGGACTATGTTATGTTGCGTAGGGCTTTGAAGACCGTCAGCAGGGTGAGTGGTGTGTCTCTGGCTCAACTGATTAACACTGTAGTTGATCGACATATAAATTCCTGCAAGCTACTAGCTACAGAAATTTTAACTGACAGTGAGCATCCACTTCATTTACAGCTCTCTCCATGTATCTCCTCAGGGAGGACAAGGAGAAACTACATAAGACTGTATGCTCGTACAGCTAAGTATAAGAATTCGACTGTACCTTACCTTGCACGCATATTTTGTGAGGAAAAAAGTGTTAGAACAGAAATCACACATCAACTTTGTGACAGTTAAAAATCTCATTTCAATAATTTAACTTACAATGCAAAATTTTCTCGTTTTTAATATTCTTCACATAACTTAAATTTTTATAATAAAACAATTCAAAAGGCTGCAAAGTAGTATGTATATACTTATATTTTGTTGTTATTGCAATATATATTACGCTGAGAATTCCAAATTGTACCACAAATTGTTTGGAATAAAGTGAATTATTATTACTATTATATATTAAGTAATTTTCTTCGTTTCTCCATGAAGTTGTTGTACTGAAGTATGTTCTCGCTATTTTGAATAGAGTCTGTACACATCTAATTTTGTGTATTGTTGGGTTGTTGCTACTGTAGCTGAGGATTTCATCAGTGTGTGTTGGCTTCCTGTATACCTGGGTTTCCAATTTTCCGGCATAGGTTCTACTGACTAAAACATTCATGAGTGGTAGTTGTTTGCTCGACTCCTTCTCCACTGTAAATTTGATGTTACTGAAAACGCTGTTGATCAAACTTCAAGTGCTTTCTAAATCATCATTTTGTGATGATAAAGTATAGTCCACATAGCGGATCCAGAGTTTGGGTTGATTACAAGTAAAATGATAGCTCCCAGCCTCTGCATCACTGCTTCTGCAACAAGTCCGAATATCGGTGATCCCATTGGAGTTCCTTTCATTTTTTTTCTACATCTTAGCATTAAATTGGAAGCATTTTGTCAGACAAAGATCAGTGAGTTCTACCAGACTTGAACACTGAAGTTGTATGCGTTCTGAAAGACTTGTCTTCAGCGAGGAGGACAGACATGGTATCTATGGCTAGTTGTAGTTCGGTTGATGTGTATAAAGCTGCGATATCAAGAGATACGATAAACCCATCATTTTTCCTATTAATGCCTTTGATTCGTTCTAAGAATTCTGTCGGTGATTTGATGGAATGTCTGTGTGATTGTAAGAGGTATGTTAGTTTCCTCGAAGCTTTATGGATATATTGTAAGTTGGTGTTCCCGGAAGTGGGGCTATTGGTTTCAGAGGGGTGTCTGGCTTGAAACTGAGGAAAGATAAGTTCATTTGATTTCATACTGTAATAAGAAGACGGAGGTTATCTAAGAAATGTGATGTATTTGTGCAACACGTTTCGAACAAACTGATCACATATTTACTTGTCAAGGCATTTTAAATGGAGGATGAAAATAGGGTGGGGTAAGACAAATAAATTAAGATTATACAATATTCGGAAAATATGGAGGTAATGAGGAGGAATAATACCTTTTCACACCTCACTTGATTTCACTTGCAGTTTTTCCTGCTTAGTTATTTCTTCTACTTTGAAGAGTTTGTCCAAGGTTTTGTTGATCTGGTTGTCGAACTTATTGACTAGGTTGTTTTTAAGTGGCTGAGACACATTTTCTTCTTTCAGTAAATTCTCCCCCTTCTTGATGTGGTCTTTCTTGTTCACAAATACAGTTGCGCGTCCTGTATCTGCTGAGAGAACAATGATGTCTCGTATTTTTCAATCTCAATAAAACCAAGATGATCCATCTGAGTTACAAATATTCTTCACCATTTCAAAAATATACAAGCGTATCCTGAAAACCTTTGGTTTGAATCCTTTTATAAATGAGAATTTTTTCAAGTTCGCCTGCCAATGCTGTTTATTTATGAATGCTTTTCTCTTGCGAAGTCAGACTAGTCAAACAGTCTGAATATGCAGAGCTCTTAAGTATTCGTTTCTGAACAACATGATGAACTGCTGGTTCAAACAATCAGAAATGGAATTTGGAGCAGCTAGTTTCGTACTAATATTGATCATCTATTGCTATAAGCGTAAATCATACGGCATGTCACTAATGCATATCAAAGTTTCAATGTGATCTACAGGCACAAAGTAATGCTGATATACAGATAGTATTAAGTTTCATCAACTTGTGAACTAATGCTTTTATCAAAAAATAATCTCAGTATTAGTAGATTGGGAAACTTCAGCTCACTCCAAAAATCTATCTGATTATCTTACGTTATTCAGCTTTAACCTGTCAGATGCTTGGCATAGTTGAACTTACTGTAGCCATTTACAGCAAACCAACTTTTTTGAAGATTCAAGAAGATACCGTTTACACTACTGACAGGTATTTGTTTGAAATCTCTCGAAATGAATAATAGTTTTTCTATCAACCACTTGGAACTTTTGACCACTTTTAAATACAAGAATAGAAATTGTGTTGCCTAGCTCAATCTAGTAATTTTCTATTGCATTCATTTATCACTTCATTCTCCCTATGTCTGAACTGTGAGAATCCACAGAGTTAAAAGTGGAAACTTTAGTTCAGCTGGACAACTTTATTAACTTTAAATATCAAGATACAATAATTACCAGTTACGGTATATCTGAGGGATAAAATTTACTTGTCTGACTACAATGCGATCAGCAAAGCTATGTTGGTTGTTTATCGTTCTTTGATAAATAAAAGCTTATCTTTCGTGCAGTTTCCTGTGGTTCATCCTTAGTTCTTTAGCCATTTACTAATACTTCATTTGTCCTCCCTCATAGCATTTATATCTCACCTTTGCCGTAATAAATGCTTAGCCGTGGATTTATTACGACTTCCGGAGTTTATTGCAACTAGTAACCGATATTGATATATTCAACATATCACTTCTAAGGAGATCAGTAGTGTCTCATTGGTTGTTGATTGTTAGTTTTACACTCCTTTCTGAATATCTTAACATAAAACAATCAGGATAAATTGACAGAATAAAAATGCGCTTTGCTGTTAACCAGATCATAGAGGCTAGGTGACGTTTTACCAGATAAATAGTTCAGTTAAACAGGAGCATATCTGATTATATGAATATATTTTTTAGTTTTTAATAATTTTCTAAATCATATTTCATAATGAATCACTTTGTCTTAAATTTTTTTTAAAAACAGAATTTCGCTGCAGCAATGATAATGATAAAAGTCTAACCTACTTTATCGTGGGTTTCTCTCTCTTCACTATGGCTGTGATCATAACATTTGTATTATGTTTAAGCAATGACGAAAGCCGAGAAGTTTCAGTTGATCCATTCGGACCAAGATTTTGAAAGTAAAAACAAGAAATACTTACATTGAATTAGATTAGAAATTTTTTTCGAATGAACAGATTCCCCTTCTCATCATCATCGTTCTATACTTCCAAATGAATAGAAGGGTACATTCATTATATTTCTTTCAGCTCTTTCGTTGTACATACTTCTCCTATGAATTTTGGTAGCCACTTTCAGACTCTTCAACTTATAAAGTAAACTTACAGATCAGCCTGGATGTACAGATCAGATGGATATATTCTACAAATTGATGACATAACTAGTAGATATTTCAGTAACATACTAAAACTCATCGCTGTTTGATACAAATATACTTAAAAGATGACTGTTCAACTTTATTTAATCTGGTAAATCTTTTATCCATAAGTCAAATAACATTATTTTCCCTTTTAACAACTATTTTTGCTGTCTTTTTCAGCTGAGAAAAATCTTTTATTTCAGAAAACCCTAAGAAGTATATCCAGCAAAAGGCGATGATAAATATTGGTATAACCGATAACAAAAGACACTAGATGTCAGCGATAGATAAGGTGGGGTTAACTTGAGAGTCCTTGAATAAACAGCTGACACTAAACTCATGCTTTTTCTTGTCATGAAAAATGATAATTAAGAACGCTTATGATCTCATACTGGATTTATGTTTGATACAGGACGCGGAGATGCAGTGTTATTTACTAAATTACATTTAAGACACAAGTTGTTACTCATGATTTTGTCAAAGTAATCACACAACTTCTTAACTTACCTTTCCTTTATTCTTACTACTTTTTATGCTTTGATTTTATAGGCATTGAATCATTCCAACTGCCTGTATTAGGCATTTAATTGATGGACAGAGATTCAGTGATCAAACACTCTAATCACTTAACCATATTAGGCTATAGGTCTATTACTCTAACCTACTCTATTGTGTGGTTGTGTTATCACACTCCAGATTGATGATCATAGTAAGGTCTTTTAATCTAGACATTACCGGGTTCCTATGTTTTGCCAACCTGACTAAGGCAGATTGGCTAGTTTAACCCATCTAACTAACATTACATTAATAGCAAACTATCTGGTAAATTCAGTCATTTCGTCTAATTGGGTCAATAGCTTCCCTAAGATGACAAACTATCTGCAAGTGAATTTGTAGGTTTAAATGCTTTCCTAGACCTAGTCGTGCTGAGAATCCCATGCAGAGTTTTGATATCCTTTGCTGATATGGTAACACTTTAGAGGTCTTGAATTCCTTCTTAGTCGTGTTGCAATCATTGATCACACCGCCACTATCCTGTTATTATACCCCTTAGTGAGTTTCTCAACAAATTTGGGCAAACCCCATTCGGGAGAAAAGCCTCTTTTAGAAGTTCAATTTGTTTGTTGATATTTTCTGACATGCTGGGTAGACACCAAGCTCAGTTACCTGGACTTTTAGCAAAACCTACATTTACTGATGTATAATGAGATGAACTAGAGTTTAAATATCTGTTAGAATGTGACAGTCTTTCGTAGACACCGATGTTTAAACCATTGCCTTGTCCACATTTTATTTCACAATCCAGGAAAGCTTATTCCTCAAATTCATATTTGAACGGGAGGTAAACTGGATTGCATCTAACACTGAGTTTGTTCATGAAGAAACTGTGGGTATATGTTCGAATCTCAACGCAGTATATATATCATCCATATATCCTCACCATCCTTTCAGTGTAGTAGTTGATGCTATATGCCTCTTAGAACATTTAGTCCTGCTCGCTAACTGCACTGATAAGAGTAACTACATCCCATTTTAGTTGGTTTAATAAGTTCATTACTCAGGGAAACAGTATTATTTACTGGATAATATATCGGAAACAATTTACTGCCTATAAAATAAATTCGATTTTGAGGTTTGTGGGGATTTTATTTATTTCAGGTCGGTATTCATCATGGACTGACATCAGTTGGAGAAACATTTGAAGCCTAGATCGAACCCAGGACCTCCAGGTTCTGTGGCCTTGGTGGAGTCATTACTGCGCATGGCTGAAGACTCCCATACTAGGACGGAACAGCTATCCAGTGCTCCCAAGCTTTCAGTGTTTTTCCACGTGACGTCAGTCCATTACGAATACCAACTTGAAGATAATAAATTGTCTTCGAATCGTTATGCAGTAAATAATGCTGTTTCACTGTGTGATACCATCAAGAAACGAACTAAAATGGAATTGCACTCAACCATAGTGCCCAAGGTTTGCTCTTACAATAGAAACTACAGTTTAGCGATTGCACATAAAGTTCACGCGCTAGACTGTAAGCGAAACTTAATTTTTTTTGGCGGTTTGTAATGTAGCTCACCCTCTTGAAACTTAGTATGAGAAATGTGATTGTATGTATTGACAACTCTACAAGCCTAATAACTGGAAACTAATATTTCTCATGAAGTGTCCCATTTACTCAGTACATGTCATTTAATTTAGGATCTATATTGCAGCTTTTCAAACGGTCTTACAAAACTCCATTGTTGAAAGTAAATTTTATTTTTTTTCCTAACAGACGATAGCAACCAGGATATGTGTCACCTTTTAGTTTGGACCAGTCATCCAGGTGCATCTATCCTCCAGGAATTGACATTGTTCCCACTAGGGCTCAATCTCAGAACAAGATCAGCTAGGCTACTGGGTTACGAAAGCCACTCTTGGTTCAACAGGTGTCATTTGACCAAGCAGTTTTCTATCATTAAATGGTATGCGATAAATTACTGAACCACTATTGATGTATTAACTCTTATGTGGATACATAAATATTTCCCTTAAGTTCACTCTGATAAAAAATTATAGATAAGGTCTAACATTAGAACCCAGAATGCACATTCTAGATGAATCAACGATGGGGAATTACAACCTGTACTATTAAACTATACTAGTCAAAACACTGAGTGATAACAAAAACTTGAAAGCCTAGTCAATAAAGATGTTTGTTTTATTCTAAGAGTAAGAAAAGGCACTGCTGGTAGGTAGACACATCGAGATGATGTGTCCTAAACGGAAAATATCCATGTCCTAGATTCAGCCAGTAGGTGTCATGCATTACTACCATCAAAATTAGATTGTTGATAATATCAAGGTATCTACGCAAGAAATAATGTGGCAAAAATCAGTTGGGTTATGACTGGTCAACAAAGAGAAGTTTTGGCTGTCAAACCAATAAAATTTCACGTTCACTGAAATGATTTCTGTTGGAGTCCAAAACTAATCTGCACTACTAAGATGATTTTGCTATTTACATTTTATGAAAGCCTAGCTGAGTGTTAAGTTGTAACAGAAAAAGTCAAATGTGATGAAAATTTAAGTCTAGTTAAGAAATAAAAATTCAGTACCTTTTCACGAAATCCTGTGTAAATAACCCTTTTATGAAGGGTAAGCAGCTTATTTGATTTTGCAATGTACATACAGTAATCAGCCATTAGCTAACGAGTTCCAAATTACACACGAGATCCAATCGTCATGATGAAAAACAGTACTGATATTATTCATAAGATTTCTATTTATTTTTCCAGTCTAAAACATAAAGTAATATGTATCGTTTTTAGTAAATATGAAGGTAACAATTGAACTCAACATAGGAGCTCTTAAATATCCAGTGTTTCTTCAACTTATGTCACTTTATGATGCATTTATTATTATTATTATTATATGTTAGTTATCCTTTGAGTTTCTAGTGGCAAATAGGGCTTCACTAGAACTCTCTCCTCTCCAGTCTTTTCTACCTGACTCCATGACTACACAAATCCCTTCATTTCTTCCTCACACGATCCCCTCCATGTCAACCTCGCCTCCGACACCCAACTCGTCGTTTCTCATCTCACTTCCATTCCACGGCCTCGCCTTGAGCGTGATGTCACCAAACCAGCTCCTCATTGTATGTCTAATCCAATCCAATCCATTCCATTCCATCTCAACTCTCTTCTACTGCATATTTGTTGGACGATAGGTTGTTGGTTAGTTGGTCCGTTACCAGCCAGCCAGCCAGCCAGCCAACCAGAGTTCCCTGTTGCTTATTCTTATTATTCCGGTCATCTGATCTGATCTTCAATATCGAGTGGGAGTAGGCGGCAGCTGTTCATATATGTCTGTAGTTTGCTGAGAATGCTTTTCGTGACACATCGAGTCTCTCAACCATCACATAGAAGCACTGACTTACTTGACTGAATTAGTGTTGAAAATCCACATCTTGTTCACGCTTTATGCTGAGTGCAGTGCAGTGCATTGCATTGCATTGGATCGCATTGCAGTGCAATAGATCACCACAACGATTTCAGATTGATGAGGGAAGGCCTGTCTTGATGTCTCTCCAAAGCTGGCTGCTTCGACATCATCATCATCTGTGCCTGTGCCGCCATCTGTAGTTGAAACGATGCTGCCTAGGTAGGTGGGTAGGTGAAAGAGACAACTTCCTGAAGATTTCTCCCCTTGATGGTGATTGGTGTTTGTTGGTGTTGTCGTTGTTGTTGTTGTTATTGGCTGAGTATCTTCATCACCTCTGTCTTCTTTCTCTACATTCACATGAAGGAAGTCCCGTCTCCACTGCCCTGTCTCACCTCTTCTGTCAACTCCTTGGTTTTCACCTGTACATCTTCTAGTTTGTGTGACAAGACATCAAACATAAATCATCATCGTCGGCAGCGAAATCCAAATCTTCTTCTGGGGTCTCTTCATCAGTCCAGTCAGTGTATGCCCATCTCCTCGCTGCTCACAGTTGTCTGTTGCATGATCCAGTCGAGTCGAGTCGAGTCGAGTCTAGTTGACCACAATCAGGAAGATCATGAGTGATAGTAGTAGGTGGCATCCTTCTCTTCTCTTGTCTTGCCTTGCCTTGTCTTGTCTTGTCTTGTCTTGTCTTACTCCTTTCTTCACTTCACTTCAAAGGCATCATCACTGAGCTTTCCATTGTGAATCAGTTGGCATGTAGCCTCATCATATAGCATATGGCTAGCTGCTGTTGAGTCAGGTTGATAAATGTTTGTGGCAGTGAAACTG